GAAGTACGCCAAATCCAAGTACTGCCCAGCCCCAAACTGAAAAAGGTAACTGTTGCATAAAATGTGAAAGAAGTAACTTTTTGACATTTTCGGTCCACCTGAGACTAGAAATGTGATAAGCAATACATACCTATAACGTAACTGGGGTACACCTTATTCAAATACCTCAGTGGCTCCAGTGTTGCCACAAAATAGGCGAAGACGGTCAACAGAACGCAAGGAACAATTATGCCCCAACAAATTCTCCAATAAGCGCCTGGTTTTCGTTTCAGCATGAACTCGATGTCTAAACATATCTCGTCGAGCCCTATAAATGTAGAAAATTACAAAAATAAATAATGGAGTGACAATAAATAATTTCAAGAAAAACATATTACATATCTTGAATCATAGTGAAACAACAGCAACATAAAGTGAAGGTGTTCTCTGTTATCTCCAAATGAAGATTAGGTTGATATTTCAACTAGTATTTGAATTGACAAAAAGCATCTGATGCGTTGGAATACTAACCATACCACCAAGAGATAGATATTATTTCAACCAATGTCAATACGTAGAATATAAATGTTCCTCCAAAGTAATCCACCATTGTAAATATCCATTGCCCTCCCTAAAATAGTTTCGGTTTTAAAGTTCGGACACAGAAAGCTTGACATAGCTGCACATACTACCAGTACAGCAAATATAATTGCAAAATAACAAAATAATAGCACTATCTCTAACAAGGAAACCATCTTAGGTGTCCATCGCCCCATTTATTCTACGTAAAAGTCTAAGAGAGATGAATTTTTCATAACGGCGGAAAAACGCTTTAAGAGGTAAAGGTAGCCAAAAAATTTGGGAGCGAGAGAGGATAGTTTTGAAGTCGCACATACTTGTTTATAAACGGATAGGGCCAAATGAAGATGGATGTTTTAGTAACAAAAAATTTATTGCTGCTATTTCTATGGTTCCAATTTTAAGGGATAGAGAGAATGAATGGGAATGTATGGGTTTTTGCATTTTTCTCTGATATAGGTGGTTTCAAATTCGTATTACATTACATAGATGAGAAGCTCTTTCTGGACATTTTTTGTTGTATCAGCTCGTTCAGTCCCTCTTTTATAGGTCCTTATTGTACTGTAACAAAATGAATACTAAAACACGAATAAAATGTTAATTTACGAGATATTTTAAACTTCAAATTATATTGGGGTTGGTTGACTAACTATTCATCCAGCCCCGAAAGGAGTTAGTCTACCAACCCCAGACGCCATTTTAAGTTTCAATAACATGGGTTACCTAAGCACTGCCATGAACTTAAGAAATTATACATGAAATATTATCAATATGTACCCACGAAACACTCTGACTAATAGGCAAATGGTTAATATAAAAATGTGTAAATGTCAGATGGAAAAATATGAAAATATTACTTACATGATACGAAAACAAATCACGCGTCACTGCTCGAAAACGACGTGCATCCGCGACGTGGCGCTCCGGACAACTGAGCGGGGGTCGGAGAGTAATGCGCGACTGGGCCGGGATGACGTAATACTCATATCGTTGACGAGTTTTTGGCGGTTAGTCTACCTACCCCTATAGTCAACCTCCCCTATTGATATCCCACATTCTTACTATTTAAGACATTGTGCAAACTTTCCACAACAATATGAGGCGGGTTCAAATCGGGTTGCCGTTGGGTTGCTTCTAAGGACAACAATGCCATGCAGTTAGTAGGTTCTTACTTACTGGTGTTACGTAGACCATTCCAACAAGAAATCCAAAGAGGGCCGACATCGCAGACACATGCCAAATTTTCAGATCAGGAAAAGAGTCCATGATTACAGTGACAAGGCTTGCATATAAGCCTACTAAGCTTCCTACGCCTAATACGAAGAGCATGAGGAAGAATAGCAGTGAGAATAACTGAAATTACAAGTTTGACACGATTTGCATTACAAACGTAAAAATAACTTCTATTGCAATTAGTATTCTGATTTATAAACTAAGCATTGCTTCAGATATGCCGGAAAATTGCAACCGGCTGCCGGTCAGCACTTCATTCTAAAGAGAAAGATGGGCAGTACATGTGGTGCGCAGTGGTAATAACCATCTCATAACGTGTTTTGGGTAAAGACGTAAGCTAGGAGAAAATTATACCATAGTCCCATGGTTATTCGAAAGTCGTGATCACATTATATCACTTATATCAAAAGGTGGCGATATTAGATAACACAGATGTTCAGAAATAACGATATCGACCATCCCTATAGCAGAGCACGATACAATAACAAACGTAATTGCTATATACAAGGTATTTGATCAGTTCAAACAACAAAAAACATGTTCTGTTCTGTTTATAAGATAAAGCAAAACCCTTTTAAGAGACCATCTCCGTTTGCATAATGACACGAGTGCGAATAATATCTATAGAAATATCATCTTGACCGGATGACCGGTTTTGTAACACTCACTCGAAACTTGTAATTCGAGAACAATTATTATAAAGGCGGCTTTAGGAATCTGTCAAGGGGGGTCGCGGCGTTGGTCACAGCATTCATGTTCTCGGGAGGGGGCAGTGGCGAATAAATACTGAATAGCAGGGGGTGGGCGGCTGCATGCTTAGGCACTTTAACAACGCTTCTGAGAGAAAATACTCTAGTGACAATTGAATAATTGAAGAGCGGGGTTCCAATGCGTCTATGGAAAAGCGCACGTCTCACGATTCAGGTCTAGTAAGGTAATTTTCACATCAAGATAAAAGTTGCCTCCAAAAAATTGCTAACGCATAAGTGGGTATTTCTTAGCAAATTTCAAAAATCATGTCCTGAGCCATTGATGCTAAGTTGCATGGATTTATCATCAATTTGACATTTTTATTATATCAATAAGTATCTACACTAATACTTTAAAAGCAAAAATTTAAATAATATATTGACACAAAAAAATATGATGAATTAATTAGTCTAAAAGCCATTCCCTCATCTCCTCCCTGGGTTTGAAATTAATACAAAAAAATATATACAATCAAATCTGTTCATATTCTGATAAATTGAATATTACTAAAATATTTGGTAATAAGTATGGATTGTACAGTCAAGCTTTGATTACTAAAAAATGGACATGTATATAAAAAAACCTATTTAAGGTATGTCTCTTGAAATGAAATCATTTCCTCACCCAGTATAAATATTCGATTTGTGGTCACACCATTTGATATTTTTGCACGCAGCTGTTATGTTTTTGAATCTTGGCAATACTGCTAATAATGTCAACATGACGGAATTTCTTATTAGGGAAAAGAGTTGCCGCAAAAGAGTATTGGATTTCAATAATTAGAACATTACATTTCTCTGTGTCATTGCCTCACTGTTCATATTAAAAGGTAATAAGTCATTATACTGTTCGAATGTTTTAATGATTTTTTTCTTGTTATGGGGAGTAAAATGCATTTACAAAATGCTAATAAATGCTAAATCAATTAGAGGTGATGTAGTGTTGGTTACGGTGTCGTTTATGCAAATCCGTCATTCCCTCGCGCTCATTCCCTCACTATATTAGAGAGTGAGGCATTGAAAATTATATGAGGGAAAGATTTTTGCATATATAAAATTGTAGTTTGGGTGTTATCGGGTTGTATAGCATGTGTTTTCAATTTTAACAGATATCCGTATATCAAGAATGCGTAAAATAAAGAAGTTAAGTGAAGAAGAGAAAAAATTAAAAAAAGGAGTACGACAGAAAGTGTCGAGAACAAATGAAAATTAATGTTGAGTCTTCAGACACTTTGCGTGAAAGAGAAAGGTTAAAGTATTTAAAGAAGAAGAGTGAAGGTAAAGTTAAGTCAGTAACTTCTATGAGTGCAAGAGAAACTAGCCAAAAACGAAAACAATGGAAAAAGAATAGTAAAGTTTATAGGGAAAAGCGAGTTACATTACAAACAAATTCACAGAGAACAGTTGAATGAACACCCCAACCAAGTCCTGCACCATCTTTACAGCACAGAGCAGAGAATTTGTCTGCTCTCAATAGACGTGGCATGCGGAAGCGGCTAACTATTCTGTACGCGAAGATTAAAAGTTTGGAAAATAAAGTAAGGAACGCAGTGAACCTTTCTTAAAAAATAAGAAGAGGTGTTTGAGATTGACGACTAAAAATACTGACCCAGAAGCCTGTCAATGGACCTCAAGAATATCTATGAAGATCGTGGAAGTAAACATGGAGAAAAGAAAAAATATTACAAAATGTTGAAGCTGCAATTAGTACAACCGATTCAAATTGCTATATAGATCGGAATCTTTTCAAAAACGATACGTATAAAAAGAACTGTACTCGTAAAGTTAGCCCCAAAATGCTGAAAGTTAAGGGTGATGTTGTTCATTTCTTAGAGAATGATAAAAATACGAGGATGTGCCCAGGGAAGAAGCTCTCTGAAGTATAAAACAAATCTCAATACAATATTAATAAATTAACTTATGTTTCTTATTGAAATTCAGCATCAAATTGTTGTAAAAATCATTCGCCCATCCTATCAGTCATTCACCTCATTTCATGTTTTTTAAAAGTCATTTTTCTACATGATATACACAAGAATATGGTGGACCTTCATTTTCAACGAACCTCACTAAACTAAAACTATATATTTTTGCAAAAAAAAGGATATATTTTCATTATTCTTTTTAAGAAATGCAAAATTAAATTTTAGTAGTATTTTTACCTTTCGTGGTTTGTGCTTACATTAAACTGAATAAAATGATTTTATTTTTTCAATTCTCCTGGGGTAATTACTGCAAATTACTGACAACTTGTTTTCATCATTATAAGAAAACCTTATTTGGTGTGTGCTGCCTTCGGCCGGATACCGGTTGCATTCACAAGTTATACTAAGACTATTGAAAAATTTTAATACACCTTTTAAGAAATGGTTTTACAAATGTTTCCTCATAACATCAGAATCTTTTGTTATAAAAGAGCGTTTACCCAAGGTACTCGATCAAATTTTGCAATGGCTTCAGGATACGATATGAACGCCAATCCAGTCCCACCATATTTAACAACCTCTTCAACTCCCACGTTCATTTTATCTGCCAAGTTACCCAATATGCCAAATATTATTAAGCCAGCTAATACTGAAGTGAAGGTATCCAGAGTTGTTACAACCATTGCGTCTCTGAAAATGAGTAGAACAATTAAAATCAAGCAATTAGATTTCCCTTGCATATACTTAAAGTAGTAAACTTTTTGGTAACCTACTGACAGCAAAACTAAAGACATGTCCATGGAGCTGTTTATTGTTTACTTAATTTTTTGGATTTGGTGTGAAGGATAAATTGGATACGGTACTGCTAATTCATCTTATTGCCATAGTCCATTTTGTTTAAAATCTATGTGTCTTACATTCTCTACGTTGAGGAAAAGTGGTACAACTTAAAACTTACAAGTTTTCAATAATAGCATTAAAACGTATTAACATTATTTTGAAAACGTGTAACACGTCGGACCCAAAAAAAAATTGGAAGAAGGGGACAATCTATAAGAGGAAGCAGTCATATGGCTTACCTGTAGACATTGTGTCTGAATTCATTGTAAGATGCGTACATGGAAACTGATCCAAATCCTATGTTCAGTGAAAAGAAGCACTGTACAACAGCGGAATACCAAACCTAAAATACATTTAAGCTTGATACCAACAAATATTTCTGTGCTCGGTGGCAAAATACAGGGTGTTTGGTGCATCGTTTGCCAAATTGAAATGGCGGTCAGGGGAGGTCTTTCTCTATCACCCCAGATCCCTCAAACAGTTTTTAACCCAACGGCATTGATTATCAGCGCAGCAGTATCATCTGTCTCTCTCTTTTACTAGTTGAGCGGCTGACCGACAGGGATGACGTGGGTCCATTGTCCCTGCTGGCTGCCTAACGCTTTTGTTACTTCGATGTAGTGCCGCGACCTGTGACTGTTGTTTTGTCAGTTTTCGTTGAGTTCTGTTTTGATGATGGGTGCATTTACAAATGAAGAGTATGCAGACATGTTGTTGGTGAACGGACAAGCCAACTGTGTTGCACGAGCAGCGCAAAGAATCTACGAAGAGCGCTATCCTACCCCACACACATTCCAAAACACTTATCGACGCTTACGAGAAACCGGCACTGTGAGCAATAATGTATCAAAAGGTGTCGTAGTGCGACACAATGTTGACATCGATGAGAGGATATTGGCACTTGTCGAGGAGGATTCTACTCAAAGCATCCGAAATTTAGCTTCATCACTGGGAATTTCAATTTGGAAAGTGTGGAAGGTACTTCCACTACACTCCTGTATAAGCTACGTAATTTTTTTATCACCCTTGCAACTGTCTGCAATGGAAACTTCTTATCGCTTTAATTTAGCATGTAGCGGCGGCAAAGTAATGTTACCCGTATTTTTTTGATTGCAGGTCTTGAAAACAATGACTTCGACAACCGAGTTCGGTTTTGTCGTTTCTTCCCGCACACAGACGTGGTCGATCCGGACTTTTTAACAAGTATTCCGTGGAAGGACTATTCCAAATTCACCAAGGAAGGGATACTAAATTTGCACAATCTGCACCATTGGGCTTCAAAGGATCAGAACCCAAAAGTGAAAAGGCCAAGCTCTTTTCAGAGAAGATTCAGTGTGAATGTTTGGGCAGAAGTAATTAGCGATCATGCGATTGGGCCACATTATTTACCAGATCGTCTTAACGGAGATAATTATCTACATTTTCTGCAAAATAAGTTGCCCGAATTGGTGAATGAGGTGCCAATTTTCAATGGCGACAGACGAATTGTGTTCCAACATGATGGCTTTCCTGCACACTGGAGGCTAATTGTGCGGGAACACCTAAATGATGTTTTTCCGAATGCGTGGATTGGACGAGATGGTCCTATTCCATGGCGTGCACGCTCCCCAGAGCTAACTCCATTGGATTTTTACATCTGGGAACGTGCAAAAGCACTCGTCTACGCGACAGAAGTTGGAACAAGGGATGAGTTGATCCGAAGAGTAGAAGAGGCGTTTGGTATGATTCGGCAAGAAAGTCGCCTACGTACGACAACAGTAGAGATAAGACAAAGGTGTCGTGCGTGCGTACGCAATAGAGGACAAACATTCGACCAAGATTTGTGAAACAGAAAAAATAATAAATGATTGAAATTTGTTTTTACAGTTTTTTTTATTTTCCTTCCCCTGTACACAAAATTTGCAAATTCAATAAGTTAGTTTAACTTTTTTGTGGCTTGTGGCATGCCGTTAGAATCGGGATAAACTACGCTTTTTGTTTTTGTTTATACAGAAGTTTAACATTGAGACTAACATTGTTTGTTCTTCTTTGTAACCCTTTGTGAGTTTATAAATAAGAAACTACATGCTGCTGGCAAGTAATGTTGATGTTGTAAGATTGGTACAACATCACCCATTAAGATAAATTAATCATTAGGTGGGCATACTTTATTTTTATTAATAATAATTAATTTCGTTGGGCTAAAAACTGTTTGAGGTAATAGAAAAGGACCTCCTCTGTCCGCCATTTCAATTTGGCAAACGATGCACCAAACACCCTGTATAATAATACATTATTCACATTTGAATTCAGATGTTCAAGTTTGCAGTTTTGTTTCCAAATACAAGACTTCTACCAAGAAATATTTTCTGTAACCTCTGATATCAATTATTTTATGGCAGCCTTACCTTAGCAGTTTTCAACATTTCCCACTTTGGCTCAACAAAATACAAAATACCTGTTCCCGCTCCTGATAAAGTTACAGCTCGTATTAGCAGTGCAGCAAGGACAACGTAAGGGAACAGAGCTAGAAAGTACGATGCTTTTCCTGATGAATGTACACCTTTGGCACAAACAGCAAAAACCACAATCCAACAGAACAGTAGGCATAAAGTTAGCCTCCATTCTGGCAAGCCAATGCCCTCTGATATGTCGTCCCATTCCTTCAGTACTTCTGCTCTGCAATAAATCACGTCAAATAGGATGACTATGTCATTTTTTCCGTTAGTTATATTGAATCTTGAGAACGTGGTAGGCAGACGTTGACTTTTAATGAATGGAGATGAAAAAAAATAGGAGAATTTTTGATTTTAGTGTCCAAGCTATTCCAGAATGTCACAGTGGGTTAATACTACGTGCTAGGTATGTTTCTTAAGTCTCTTGGTTGTTTTACCCAATAAGAAGACTATATATAATCTACCCATCATTATCAATTGGCCTGCGTTCTTCCCTTTTCACTTAGTCATAACGTAACAATGATTTTTTTGTCCTAAAATCACTGCAAGGGTGTTAATGAGCCGTATTCATAAAACAAAGGATATCCTTGAACTTGCAAATTTTGAAGGAAGTCCTCCAGATGATATTTGTAATAATTTGAAGTAAATGCTTTTGCTTTTTGAGTATAAGCATATCCTTCAGAGCAGTGACATAAGTAAAAGGATATTCATAATCTTCACCTTATTCTTGGTACAGGAACCATATTCTTCAAAAATTCTGAGTGTCGTCAGTAGCAGACTCAACTTCGTAACGAAAGGTCGTGACTTCAAAAAAATATATCGGTTGGACGAAGCAAATGTACAATGGCTTGTGGACAGATTTTTAGTTGAGAATGAGGAAACTCGAGGAGGAGCACTTTCATGTATTCATAAAATGAAGACTATGTCTACGCTATCTCGGTGACCCTGAATATCAACAAGGTATTGGTCAGGAACTTGGTGTGATTCAAGCAACGGTATCTCGGACTGTGGATAGAGTTGTGTACAGCATAGTTGCACAGTCGAACGAATGGATCAAGTTTCCAAATACCAACCATAAACTGATGCAGGCCAAGCGGATGTGGCAAAGCATGTATAAATTTCCGACAGCAATTGGTGTAATTGATTGTACACGTATAGGAATCCTGAAACCAAATCGCCATGTAGATGAGTATATCAACCGAAAAAGGAAACCTACTTTAAATGCAAGCCACTTCTGATGCCAGGGAGATGTTCACAAGTGTTGATGTCAGTTAACCTGGATCAGTGCATGATTCCAGAATATGGAGAAATTCACAGACTAGATCACAACTAATAAATAAAGCAAATGTTGTACTACTTGGCGATGACGGTCATGGTATTGAGCCATGCCTCATGACTGCCTTCATAAATCCTACTCCAGGTGCAGAAATAAATTATAATAAGCTTTTAAAACAAGAAAGAGTTATAATTGAACGCTGTTTCGGCCAACTGAAACGCCGATTTCCTATCCTACATTATGCCCCGTAAAGTTGGAAAATGTGCCGAAAATAATTATTGCTTGTATTGTACTCCATAATGTTGCGAAGAGCTTGGGCGTTCCTGACTTTGAGCTAGTTGAACAAGACCCTGATGAAGATGAAGGAAATCATGAGAATGACGAACTTCCTCTTCGCTAACTAGGTCAACAAATAAGAAAAAACTTGAGTATTATATATATATATAAATAGTTTTACTATTAGTATTTACTGTTTATAATGTATAATATATTTTATTTTCGTGAACATAATAAGTTACAGGTGGCTTCTGATGCTGCATCATTTCTAATTTCGTTTTATAATACTCTTGTTGTAAAATACTTGTTTGATACTGCTGTAATAGCACTAGATATTGCAGTTTTTTTTATACTTAACCCTTTGGTTTCCTCAGTTTCGTATTTCTCTGTTGCTAATTTTCTTTTTGGTGGCAAAGTCTTCTGAATTTCTGGCGCTGTAATACTAACTGTTTGCTCACTGCGCTCGGTATATGGTTCACTTCCTTCTTCTTGAACACTACCAATCTGAATGGCACATCTAATTTTCCCAATTGTACTATTTCAGTCACCTTCCATAGCTTTCAGCAACTTTCTTTCCCAATCTAACAATTTAATTGCTTTATTACCAGTTTTTTGTAGATCTGTTTTTTTCTTCAATCTTGATTTGATGTTGTTGATTTCTTTTAATAAGCCTTCAGCATCTAATGGTTTACCGAATACTGATTCGTATTTTTTCAACATCTGCTTCAAGGCATCGTCCTTTCTCATTTTTATTTTTGGAACTTGTGACTTTTGCAAAATAATGGGAGCAATGGCAATTTCAACATTTGTTTCCTCATTACTTGAGTATGACATGCTTATTAATTTGATAACAAAATGTATCCAGTAAAAATACGGAACGGTCTGTGTAAGCTCTGGAGTACAACTGTCAGTGATGCTGAGTAAACGGACTCCCACGTCAACTACAAGCTGGAACAAGTCAGGACATGTCGCTCAAGATACAAATACCAGTCAACCTTTTACTTCTTCTTCGAGGATATCCTAGCGAGTATAAGGTAATCATTATGAATATAAAAACAAGGATATGATCATACTTCTACCTTTTCCTCCGAAGCGAGACCTTATACTTTTAACTTATGCTCCCGAGGATATGCTTCACTTTTATGAATACGGCTCAATGGTTACCTCGTATATGTGAATGTCCGTACAAATTAATTCCAACGAAATATTATAAACAAGTTTTTCAAATACAGATTTAGTTTTCCTGTCTCCAATACATCTCACTGGCTTCAAGCAACAAGGGCCAATTTATTGTCTTCTTAGAACGTGTGCTGTAGATATATCACAAAGTTTTACTTGATTCCATTGATATTTATATGCTATTTCTTCACCTGAGAGTAAGATTTCTTTCGATTTGGCGATGATTGGGAGTTTCAAGAGACTCGCATGATTTTGTGTACAAATTTGATAATTTTTAGGGTTTGTCGTTTTGTGGTCACAAAGTTTATCTGACACCACTGAACAAAAAGCCAAAATTGAAATTCACTTGACAATAATCTATAGCTTCTCCACTTTGTACAATACGAAATACTAGATTTTTTATTACCGTTACGCATGTGGAACCAAGGCTTGATGAATGGTAAAATAAATGAAAGGACGCTTCTTTTGAATGAATAAATAACGTCACAATTCGACATACTTTGTATAAAGACAATGAAAACAAGCATAAAGTAGGTTGTCATGCAGTTGCGTAAATACAAAAAGCGTGCTACTATTATTATTAATAGGTTATTTCCCTTGAGCTTGACTGTGATGATATGATACCATGTTAATTTATTTTGTCATAGGGAGGTGTAGCTTAGTATGTTGATAGGTAAACTATGCCTCACAGTAGATGACAAGATGATACATGTAGGATACGAACGAGAGATTATAATAGAAATATAACGATAAACGTGAAAACATCTCATCTTAGAAGATTTCTAAATACCACCCCGTACCATTTCATTTTTACTACATGGGCAGTACATAAACAATTCGATATGTCAGGGTAATATTAAAGTCACTTACTTGGTGACGAATTGACAACGAGTTATCCTCCTTTGGCAAGCGATAAGGATGATATGATCGGATTTTCGAGGCCAATATCTACTTTTAGAAAAATGACTTGAGTACCTCCCATATTCAACCGACTCATAACATGCACCACCTTAGGATTACATTAATTATCCGCAATGGTACCAATTCATCATTATTTACTTTTGATTTATCATATACTGGTCCGCAGACCCTAAGAGCCACCTGGGACACACAGACCCTGGGACACACAGTCTCCCACTTAGGCAATTTTAAGCACACAGCAGCCTATGTGATCAACATAGGTTTAAGCACACAGCACCCTATGTTGGCACCCAGGCATACGCCTAGACATGCTGAGTTCAACGATTGTTACGAAAAGCAGTCCAGGATCCAGGATATCACGTTGGCCAACGGCCGTTGTACAAATATGCAAAGGCTCCGACATTACCTCTTAATCAAAGATAACCGAGCAAGATGAGAGCTTTAGAATAACAATCTCTACGCACATCCTACCATGAGATAAGTTCAGATGGCAGAGATTGCCAAGAGAAGATAGTTAAGCCGTCATTCAGACCTAGGACGCCACTTCGGCCAAAGGCCACCGTGTCAACATCCCAAGCGCTCCGATAATTCCCCTGATAGAGGAAACCGAGCATTAATTAACTGAACCACCTAAACCCAGAAATCGGGTACCGAAAGTCCCATAACAACCCCCAGAGACTGGAGGAGTCACCAATGTATGAGCCACCTCATTTCCCTATCCTTATCCGCAACTATTGAGTCCGTAAGCCATTGATAGAAATATGAATACATGATCCAAGCAGGTTTATAAATATGGATATATGCTCAAAGCATCTTTATAAATGTGGATATATGATCAGAGCCTCTTTATAATTATGGATATATAATCAAAGCATCTTTTTGAATATGAATATGCTCAAAGCATCTTTATAAATAGGGCTACACGATCAAAGCTTCTTTATTGTTCAAAACATAGGTTAATCGTGAGAGTTCTCAACCATGTACAACTGTTTCATGCTTACAAAAAGAGCAAAAAGTGTAGGTGGTATAAGGTCTATACAGCAAAAGTGTCATCTTCTACCACAATCGACCACTGCAAGAGTGAATGATAGCTATCTGTTGGAATTGTAAAGTATCCCGGTCCGCTCGATGCCGTCGATTCTGGCGATATAGTAGATGTGGTCAACTTGCCATTGAAAACTAATAATACTGCTATCATTCGTCAGACCAAACAGAGCGCCAGCCGAGTAGAGCTGTTTCATACTTATTGGCAATCATAGGCTCGTTCTAGGCAGATCTGTAAGAAGGACACGACTTTTGATTTTTTACAGTTCCGACAGATAGCTGCTCATTCATTTCTCGAAATGACCAATTCTAGTAATAGATGGCACTCTTGATATCGTATTTGGATTGACTTCATACACCCGGTAGAGAATACTTTAACCTTAACAGAGACCTACCTAGACCGTACTAATGATTGGCAGTAAGCAGGAAATAGCTGTACATGGTTGGCGCTCTGTTTGGTTAGACGGACAAAAGCAGTATTATTAGTTATTAATGGCAAGTAGACCACGTTCAGATAAAATAATGGTTTCCTTACCTGAACCACATTTCTGCTGAACTAATAGTGACGTTGGCTGTGGTCGCTCTTCCATTTGATGGTACACATTCCGCGTCCTTAAGCCATGTTGTATTCGCCCAAGAGGGATCGCACTTGGCCCATGGAAGGTTTGCCGTAAAAGAATTTATGAGGTAAAATAGTGTGATGGCCATCAAAGATGCGTAATAACTGGCGACACACATCGTGCCTATTAGTTGACCGTAACCCAGTCCTTCAAAGAGAATTTCTTATATGTATATGATTGTTTAGGCATAGTCTAAAATCTTCGTTCCGTGCATTTTTTTGACTATTTAAAAAATGTTTTCATTTTCCAAAAATAATTCAGGCAGCTGTGTACTCCTAGCCGACTTTTCTACAGGGTGTTTTCAAAAGGTGGGATAAAAATTCAAAGGATATTGTTTTGACCATCCTAAAAAAATTGTTTTTCAGCGATGTTCAAAGAACTGCCTACAGGTCGATAGTCCTTATTATCGAAAATTATAATGTTAATATGCAAAACATTTTCAAAATGACTACATCCAGGTGGAATTGTACCCAATGATGTTTTTTCCTTGTCGTAGATTGAGTAGTTTCTGATCTCCCCCCGTATTGTCGTTTTCTCTAGAGATTAAATTGAAGCGTGGTATTCCCAAAGGGTCTAAGTGCCAATATTTCTGAATTTCATATTTTTCCTCCAAAAGGCATGCTTTAATGCATGCATTAGAAAAGGGTCCAAGTACATATCCGACGAAAATGTATTTAATCTCCCCATTTGATAGATGGCGTTCTCGTACTCGGTCGTTCATTGAGAAGGGTCTAAGCGCCGAGTACAGGCGTAATATTATTACGTGCATTTAATAATAAACAATGAGTGAAAATCAAGTAAACAACCCAAAGCGACGTGTCCCAGGGTCTGAAAATAAAAAGAATGAAATGAAACGACTGAAATATAGTGGCCTGGCATATCACAATCGAAGTAACAAGGATATTGCTCCTAAGAAGGCGCCAAGTTTTGAGGTTAGTTGTGTTTATTTCTATTGTTTTAGTCAACAAAAGTAAATAAGTTTGTTTTATTCCAGGTATTTTGTAAATGTAAATATGAGTGCAGAAAATTGCCCTATGAGCAAAAAATATTTTTATTTGAAGATTATTATAAAATAGCTAATCATGTGAAGCAAAAATCTTATCTGTTGGGACTCATACAAATTGGCAGTGTAAAAAGAAGTCACGGAAAATATGAATCTGCAGAACAAAGTCGTCGACAAGCTACTGCATGGTACACGGTTCCAAACGGAAATGGCCAGCATGTGCAGGTTTGCCGTCAAACATTTTCAAACATTTTTGCCCTATCACACAAGGCAGTGCACGTTTTAACAGAAAAAGAAAAGTTGGGAGAAACAGTGTATACAGATAAAAGAGGCAAGTCAAATGAACCAAGAAAGTATACAACAGCGATAAGAGACCTGGTTAGAGAACACGTACAAAGTTTTCCTTGCGAAGAGAATCATTATAGCAGAAGCAAATCACAAAAGAAATGTCTGAGTCCAGATTTGAATATAAATCGCCTATACTTGGCATTTAAAAGACAGTTTCCCGATACAGAGGTTACTTATAAGTACTACTTGACAGTATTTAAAAATGATTTTCCGCATTTACGATTCGGTCGCCCCAGAACGGACACTTGCTCAGTTTGCGATCTTTACAAAAATAAAATAAGTTATGCCCAAAATCAAACAGAAAAGGATGAGATGAAAGCCAAACTTGACCTACACCACAGAAAGGCGGAAAAGGCTAGACTAGAAATGGAAAAAGACGGTAATTTGTCACAAATCCCGACGGCCAGCATTAGCATGATGTCTATAGATTTAGAGCAAGTTTTATTTTTGCCAACACTTACACATAGGCAGATGTTTTATAGCAGACAGCTTTCGTGCTATAATCTAGGAATACACATATCTGATACTGGAACTGCTCATATGTGTCTTTGGGACGAATCCATAACAGGTAGAGGAGCTAATGAAATTGGATCTGCCCTTTTAAAGTGCCTTAACTTGCCAGCTTTGAATATGAAAAAAAACTTAGTGATTTGGTCGGATAATTGCATAGGACAGAACAAAAACAAAATGTTGCTTTTTTTGTTCATATATTTGGTCCATAATGGAAAGTTTGAAAAAATTGAACAGAAACTTTTAGTTTCCGGGCATTCCTATTTGGCATGTGGTAGGGACTTTGCGCAGATTGAGCGTCGTAAAAGAGTCACAAAAAACTACGTACCGGATCATCTTGAAAAAATGATTAGGAGTGCACAACATAAAAATCCATTCAATGTCATTCGTATGAATAGAGAAGATTTTAAAAATCTTCAAGAGATTTCCGATAGCTTTTTAAACACGACCAAACTGAATATATCCAAAGCTTGTTGGATAGAAGTTTCTAAGAAAAATCCAACTTTAGTCAGAACAAAAACAACGTTTAACGAAATGGAAGAATGGACCTCTTGTAACGTTTTAAAACGAGGCAAAACTTTGAGTGACCTTAAAACAACACCGTTGCCACAGTTAGATTGCAAAAACCGCATATCTCAGGAAAAGGCCAAACATTTAGAAGACATGTTAGATTACATACCACTTGCATATATCTCATTTTATACCGGTATCATCGAAAAAACCAAGCAAAACAATCCAGAGTAAACATTTTGAATGGAATTACTGGTTTCACATAGGCCCTTTTACAATGACACGATGCATTAGACATAGGACCTTCTAAAAATTTAATATTTTATTTTGTGTTCCAAAATATATTTCGTTTATTTTTGCTACCTTTTTTCGTAAAATGTTGAATAACCTGATGTTTTAATCGAATAAATTTACTTTCATATTTTTTTGTTTTATTTGACATCGCTACATCACAAGAATATCTTATTTCTTCATTTTCTCGGAAGTAAAATTTTCGCACTTAGACCCTTTGGGAATATAACGCTTCAATTGTTACTCGCCGATACGGGTATTAATGAGATTTTTCTGGACCGTCCGCAGGCGACTTTCTGGGATTTATAACTAAATTTCACGTTTTTAGAACAGGACGTCTTGGGACCTAAAAAGTGAAACAACCCACCAACACTGCATTGCTGTCCACTGGTTGTAATCTTCATATAGTGCTTTCATAATTTATCAAAAAATCGATTTCATTGTCTTGGTGCCTTGAGAAAAATGACATGGATCTTTTTTGGTGATATATGGTCGCTTAAGCCATGCAAGCGATACTGAAAGACATTAGAATTAGTCTTTATAGTTAAATAATTGTGTCACAAACTAGTCAGTGTGTACAGAACACGAGAGCTTTAGAGGTGTTTTAAAACGTCGTGGGCCGTGACCGTTACATTATGTGGATGCGCAGAAGACAGATATTAGAACGGCGGGAAGAATATTACCCTAACCACAAATATAGACTTTTTCGAGGCAGACCGTCTGACACACTGGCACGGTGTTACCAGGTCTACCGATTTTGGTTCTGGTCTACCGAACTACCGATTTTAAAGCAAAATCTACCGAAAAGTAGACTTTTCTTTCAATTGAATAATTTTTGTTCCCTATATAAGAGAAATATTTCTGATGCATAGCGGTAAAAAGAATGACAAAAGTACTATTATGATTAGTACTAGACCAGATATATTTTTATTCTCTTTGCCTGATATTGGTGTGCCACGTACGCTGATTCTTCGCATCTGAAAATACTCGATGTTTTGGCTACATCGCCTAGGCCTGGCGGCTCGTGACAAGTCCATGATTCTCGTTGATCGACAAACGAAAGTGCGCGAAGTAGCAGAGGTCGTAGGTGTGCCGACCGGAACGGCAATAAATATTTTACATGATAAGTTGGCTATGAACAAATTGTCGGCACGATGGGTGCCGCGATTGCTCACGGTGGACAACAAGCGGATGCGGCGAAGTACTGTTTGGATCAATTTAAGCGAAACCCGAAGGAGTTTTTGCATCGGGTTGTGACCGTCGATGAAACCTGGATTCATCATTACTCACCAGAAACTAAGCGACAATCAAAACAATGAATTTCTTCAGGTGAATCTGCTCCAAAGAATGCGAAGACGGTCCCATCGGCCGGAAAGGTCATGGCGACGATATTTTTTGGGATGCGAACCGCTTGTATTTTTTATAAAAAGGAATAATGATCACTGGACAATACTGTAGTGAGTTATTGGACCGCTTCGACAAAAAATTGAAGGAGACACGGCCACATTTGACGAAAAAAAAGGTGCTGTTTCACCACGATAACGCACCAGCACATTCATCCGGAGTTGTCGCCGCCAAACTGCATTAATTGCGTTATGAAGTGCTGCCGCACCTTCCGTATTCACCCGATCTGGCACCCTGCAACTTTTCCTTGTTCCCTGACATGAAGAAACGGCTCGCAGGGAAAACAATTATCTCAGACGAGGAAGTCATTGCCAAGACAGGCTTATTTTGGAGAGATCGACAAATCCTATTTTTTGGGGGAGTTAAAAAAATTGCAGGAACGTTGGGAAAAGTGTATCTTTATAAAAGAAAAATAAAAATAAATTTTTTGGAAAAAGTGGTGTCTTCATTTCTAACACGGGTAGTTATTGAACCGTCCTCGTACTAACAATTAACAATTTCCGAAAAAAAATAATGAATCTGATAAATGTTAATATATGTAGAGGACTTTTTGAACGTTATGAAGCCTCAGGTTTAGTCTCTAATAATTTACCACACCATGTGAATTAATTTAATAGTACACAGAATTATCCATTGAATTTTCTCCGTGTTTTGAGAACGATCTTAATAAGATTGCCCGGCCCACTCACCTTTCAAGACGGGAGCTAAATTCTCGAATATCTTGACATTGCCTCTACTGTTGAATTGCCCCAGACACATTTCCAGGTAGTACATGGGTCGACCAATTAATACCAATACTATAAGGTACGGGATTAGGAAGGCTCCTCCACCATTTTCATACGCCACAAAAGGAAACCTCCAAATATTTCCTAAACCGACATTCATTGCTATGCACGACATCAGAAATTCTATACTCTTGCCCCATGTTGCTCTTTTTTGATTACTATTATTGTTAGGTTCGTCGGGAAGAGAATCAGTCAAGACGGCTTTCTGGAAAATAAGCATAGAATATAGAAAAAAGTTAGAAGAAATCTCTGAGAGGCATGTGGATTGTCTTAATATAGTTACTCGTATTATCTTCATACTTGAAAAATCATTCCAAAATATGCAAATCAAGAAATATAGAAAATTGAATATTATTTTAAATGATTTTCTGAACTATACTTTAGCGCATATCGCAGATATTTGATTTCTTATTTTAAAATGAGAGATTCGGATGTAACTTGCACTAAAATATCATTTTTTCTTTAAGGAACTCTTTGCTTGCTATTTTATAGATCTTCAAAGTTGAATTTTGGGTGGTAATACTGTGGTATAGAATACTGCTTTATAAGCTGTTTTCTTCTTGTTTATACAAAAGATTGTTCAAAGTGATATGATTATAACATGAATTGTAAGTTACTGTGACACTTTTCATCGCAATAGTGCAATTTTGCAATATTTTAATGATGAAAATAGTTCGTTGTTATTGTTGTTTTATTTCAGATAATTATTCCCATCACTACACCACCATCACTGTCATATTCTCTCCATCTAGTTGCGATATTGCCAAATCATCGATAGTAATATACCTTAATTTGGTTTGTCAAATTCTTACTATACTAGCGCAAAAATGTGTTAGCAAAAGAGACTTTTTTGAAGAATGCCTTATGCTCTTCACAAAAATACTTCGGTTATTGTTTTTCCTATATTATAGTTATAATCTAGTATTTACTTTTTATATGTATGTACTTGAAGAATTATTTAAAGTGAAGCTGATGTTACAAAATTAACCTAATTAAATGTGATATATATGAGAAATAACTGAAAAAGTAGCTATTGTAAATCACTAAATAATGAAAACATAACAAAAAACATTGCAAGTTTTTTGATGATTTGATGAAATGATCGTTGATCTTTATTTAACTATAATGTTGGACGATGATATGTTGGGTGGACCTGGCGAGGTGGTCCGAAGCGACGAGTCGACGTTTTGTATTTTTATATGCAATGACCGCTGGTGCCTTTTGTATTTTTTGTCACGCGAGCCGCTGGCGCATTTTCCACTGTTTAGACACATACTGTTCAAAATTTCATCTAGTTTTCGGTAAATATTGGGACAGCTTTTCATAAAACAAGCCATTTACAATAAATTAAGACTTTTATTTTGCACATAACCTCATTTCTAATTGCGTATTTCTTCCAAAAAATGTACAACTTGGCAACAATGGACATCATTTATTTTAACTGTCAAAAAATGAGCGTTATAAAATAGTCATTGAGAATCCTTCGTACTTTGAAATATTTCTCATAAACGCAGAAACATTGATCTCATTTAAAATACGCGAAAAAAATGGTTAAGGAATTTCAAGAAGACATTGAAAAATTACAAAACAACACCTCTACACAGTTTACCAAGTAAATACCATTTACGTATGTATTTTGACCTGTTATTTAAATTAATAAGCTAATGTGTAAACCTTTTTTTGCAAAAAAAACGGTTTTTTACAGTTTCACATCTATTTTCCTTAGTACTATACAGTGTATGTTATATTCTTATAATTTAGAGCATCCTTTTGTACAAAAAGCAACAAAAGACAGCATATGAAACAATATTCTATTCTAGAGTATTACCACCAAAAATGCAACTTCCAAGTTCTATAAAATAGCAAGCAGAGGGTTCCCTAATGAAAAAATGATATTTTCGTAAAAGTGACATCCTAATCCTTCACTTTAAAGTAAGAAACAAAGTATTTGCGATATATGAGTATAGTCTTACCAAATCATTTATTAAAAATCCTATTTTGATGTCGTACATACAACGCAGGAGTTATTTTAAACATCTACCCCTCAAGGTAGTTTTTGATCTACACTTCCAGAATAACTAAAAGCAAAAATAGCAACTGGTCCTGTGTCTTATCATACATTTCATTCAAAATCCACCATAAAAGCAAGGATGCTCTTTTTTAGCTTATCACCACCAGGGATTAAAAACGTAAGCTCCATAGGGTTTTTCAGTATACGTTTGCGGAACTATCGCATTGCAGTTTTACACACCATAACGCTTCTGATGGATCTTAATGAACAGTAAACTGTCTCAGTATGCATTAAATTGCTTTTATGTTACTATTATATACCAACTAATTCGAATATGTACATTGCATTGTTTGTTACCAAAGTAGCAGCTTTGCATCAAATAATAATAATAATAATATTTACTAGAGGAAAGATCTACCTTCATTATGCTGCTGTATGCAAATTTTATTAGAAGTAGCACGTTTTGAAATCATCTAACACCACAAGCATCTGCAAAGACTCGTACATTTAAGAAATAACACTAAAGCTATGAATGTAATGTCAGAACCGTCAAAAAAATAACTTATGGTCAGGTAGACTTTGATCCTCTCTGCAGACTATGAGAATAAAGAGACAAACAAATCCTTGACGGACTTCTTCTGCCTAGTCTAAACTCGTTGGTATATACCGACTCATCCAATGTCAACAATGTAGGTCTTACTCGACCAACAAATGATTTTAAATCTGAACTGAAAATCTTCTGC